ATCGATTAATACCCATTGTCCAAGTTCACGACACCTCCATTGCCACCGAATCGCTTGGAGTTTTTTGAATTCGCGTGTTGAAACGGATTTCGCCGTGACCCTCGCAGCCGCTAGAGGCCGTTACATCCCACAGACGGCAGCGACCTCCGGCGGCTGAAGTCGTCAAGTGACGGCGTTGCGCAAGACGCAGAGCAGGTCGCCACTGCTGCTCAACGCAACTGGACGAGCGGCATTCACAGCGGAGCTGAACCTCGGTGACTGAGCGACATCGTCACATCAACCCCCCCTGGGCTGTGACACGTGGTGGTGTGAGTGGGTGGTGTGATAGTGGGTGGTGTTGTGGTGGGTGGTGTGATGGTGGGTGGGTGAGTGGTGGTGGGTAGTGGTGGTGTGATGGTGGTGGTGTGATATGGTATGATGGGTGGTGGGTAGTGGTGGGTAATGGTGGTGGTGGGTTGGTAGTGGTGGTGGTGGGTTGGTAGTGGTGGATAGTGGTGGTGGGTAGTGGTATGGTGGGTCATGGTGGTGGTAGTAGTGGTGTGATGGTGGTGGGTTGGTAGTGGTGGTGGTGTGGTGGTGTGGTAGTGGTGGTGTGTGGTGGTGGTGTGGTGGTGGTGGTGTCTCCCCCACCCGTGCTGATGGCGGCGCGTGCCGCCCAGGGCGCTCCGCTCGGGCCGGGCCGCACTCCTCCCGTGACCGCCAACCTCGCCTGCAACAACACAGCAGCAGCACTCAGCACTCAGTAGCAGCAACAACAACACAACAACAACACAACAACAACACAGCAACAGCACTCAGTACTCAGTAGCAGCAACAACAACACAACAACAACACAGCAGCAACACAGCAAGCACTCAGCACGAATCAGCACGCCGTGCTGTACGTGGAACTTCTTTCGCACCGTACGTAGCTAACCATGCTCATCGGAGGTGCGGCGGCGGCGGGGCCAGAGGGGGGTAGAGGGGGTAGGGGGGGGACAACGAACTGGACACGCGACGAGCGCTCGGAGCGAAGCGAGGTTCCAGCCGAGCGCTCATTGCGCTGTTGTGGTCCGTCTGGTGGTGGTGATGGTGGTGCCAGTGGTGGCAGTGGTGTCGGTGATGGCTCACCGCGACTGCGCCACGCCGCAGCAGCTGCAGCGGCGATGCGAGTGACCTTGCCAGCATCGCGGCCATGGCTCTCCCTGTGCTGCTGGTGGAGGTGGTGGAGGTGTCGCAACAACGACGATGACGACAACAAAACGCGAAGCTGCCGCGGTGACGCCGCCGCCCCGTCAAGTCGCCAAGTCGGCACCCGTAGAGGCGGCGCGTGCTCGAGCGCCCTCTGGCGGGCGGGGGTGGGGGTCGGGGTGGGGTGGGGTGGGGGTGGGGTGGGGGTGGGGTGGGGGTGGGTGGGTGGGGGTGTGGTGAGGTGGGGTGGGGTGGGGGTGGAGTGGGCGGGGGGTGGGGGTGGGGGTGGGGTGGGGGTGGAGTGGGGGTGGGGTGGGGGTGGGGTAGGGGTGGGGTAGGGGTGGGGTGGGGGTGGGGTGGGGGTGGGGTGGGAGTGCAGTGGGTGGAGTGGGGGTGGGGGTGGAGTGGTGGGGTGGGGGTGGGGTGGGGGTGGGGGCGGGGTCGGGGTGGGGGTGGGGTGGGGTGGGGGTGGAGTGGTGGGGTGGGGGTGGGGTGGGGGTGGAGTGGTGGGGTGGGGGTGGGGTGGGGGTGGGGGTGGGGTGGGCGTGGGGTGGGGGTGGGGTGGGGGTGGGGTGGGGGTGGAGTGGGGGTGGGGTGGGGGTGGAGTGGGTGGAGTGGGGGTGGGGGTGGGGTGGGGGTGGAGTGGGCGTGGGGTGGGGGTGGGGTGGGGGTGGGGTGGGGGTGGGGTGGGGGTGGGGTGGGGGTGGGGTGGGGGTGGGGTGGGGGTGGGGTGGGGGTGGGGTGGGGTGGGGGTGGGGTGGGGGTGGGGTGGGAGTGGGGGTTGGAGTGGGGATGGGGTGGGGTAGGGGTCCGAATGGGGGTGGGGTGGGGGTAGGGTGGGGTGGGGGTGGAGTGGGGGTTGGGGTGGGGTGGGGGTCGGAATGGTGGTGGGGGCGGGGTGGGGGTCGGGGTGGGGTCGGGGTGGGATGGGGGTCGGGGTGGAGTGGGGGTGGGGTGGGTGTCGAGGTGGGGGTAGGGGGTCAGGGTGAGGGTGGGGGTCGGGGTAGGGGGTGGGGGGTGCCACGCCGATGGAGCTCTTGGCCGAGCGCGTGTTCGCGCCTCGCAGCTCAATTGTCGCCTGCCGGATCTTGGGATCACATCGCTGTCGATCGCCTTATCAGTGCACCCCCAAGACCGTAATTATGTAATATAGATTGGGAGAAAAACATCCCCCCAATTTTCAAATATGCTCAACATGCCCCCCCCCCCCATATATTGCTATAAAATAGATTTATGTTTATATGATTGTGGTTATGGTTGTACTTTATTAATCCCTAATCTCTGCCATTACATACAATGAAACTAGAAAAAGTAAAAAATTAAAAACAGAGCAATGTAATTCATTAACTATTAGACATTATTGCAAAAAATAAAGAAAAAGTCCATCCTATGTGTTAGTGAATTTTTTTATATGTTAGGCAGGAAATGGCAGGAAATTCGTTAAAAAAATTTAGATTTTTTTTTCTGGGGGGGGGGGGACACCCACACCCCCTGGAAGATTTGGTTCCCCCCAATGTTGACTCCATGGCTACTGCCTTGCCCCCCCCCTACCTTATTGCAGACCAATTCAGACCTTATTGGTCGCCCCGTTGCCCCTCATACATCTCAACGTTCATCCTGCAAAGTCCCATCACAAGGGAGAAACACAAACAAAAATACAAAAACATCTTTTTGCCCGTGTTGAAACGGCTGTACGCCGTATGCACCTGAAAACTCAATTTCCCTGTACAAGAATAAACCGAATGGGTCAGTAGCGTCACGGGAAGTCATTGACTTACGAACACAATTAGTCCATGGGGTCCGTTCGTAAGTCGAACGGTTCGTAGTTCGGAACAACAATGTTCTGAAATGTTCTGAAATGTGTTACGGTTCAACAACAAAAAAGGGAAGCGTTGTTCAACTCATGAATAAGAAGAAACAGTGTATATTTGCACCGTAACTAAAATAATGAATATTAAATTAAACAAAATAAAGTAAGAGAAAACAAATTCTGTTTGATCTTCACTTACCCTGGGGCCTGATGCTGGCTTGCTTGTCAGAAGGGGGCCAATGAGTCACCACAATTGCACACACAGACACACACAGACACATGTGCACGCGTGCGCACAAAGACAAAGATCCCCCGTATAGCCTAAACTGACTGTCGGGACAAGTGCTGTTAGCGAGCACCTGTGAAGGCCGACACAGCACACGAGTCGGTGAGTGGCCAGCACCACGCCCGGCCGCCTTTGTCTCCCCAGTGGCGATGTTTACACACCGCACCAGGTACTCATTTGAGGCTGAGTCGACCTATGGAAGGCCCAGGACCGGTTCAGATAATCGTCACCGGTGTTGGCCGTGAGCGCTACGACTCAAGACGGAGCGCCCCCTCCAGCGATAAATGTTCGAGACCGTAACGACGTTGATGTGAGGAGGCCGTGCATGCTCGTGAAGCCTTACGTATTGAGGTGTGCGTGGTGAGCAAACTGTGGGCAGTCATTCACACTGTAACGTCGCAATGTCACAATGTCACGGCACCCCCAACATTACGTCTACAGCGTCAGATTCGGGCCAGCACTCATCTAAAGTCTACGTCTCCAGTGGCCTTGGAATACATTTGTGTCATGCTGACCAACTCGGGTTGAAAACTCCCAATGCATTAAAATGGGGTGGCACAATAATCCCACAGATGATCCAACAACTTCAGTATAAAGTCGTGTTGCTATTGGAGGCTTACGCGCGAGAAAACCAGTCGATTGACCAAATCTTTGACGCAAAATCCAGCGCCAAAAGGTTCCGCTTTGACGTAACGGCAGATGACGTCATTGCATGTAATGTCTCATGACGTCATCGCACGTCGTGTGACATCATCTTGCCACGCGGCTCACCACGTGGAACATTCATTGTCGCCAATGAAGCACCTCGCGAGGCATCGCAGTAGTGACTAATCCCATATCTGCATGTCATCAATATGCTAAATTCCTCTGTTGATATGTAAACTCCTTTGTCAAGGCGCTCTGCTCCTCCCACCCAGCTTAAAATACGCTGCCAAGCTTAGTAGTGTTCATTAGGACGCTGTTTTTCCGACAGCTGTTTCTTCACCTGAGGACGGCTGCTTGCATTGTGGCCGAAACGTCGTGAGAATTTTATTTGATTATGTTTTATTATTTTATTATTTCCCTTCTACGTGACTTTACAGAAAGAACCAAGAATATGAATCCCTGCAGTCACGAAAGCTTTAAATCGAAACTTGTCGTTGTTGTTGTCGTTGCCTCTTGCGAGCGGAGTTCGACGCCAAAGCTTCTCTCCAGCTGCTGTTGTTGTGCCATCGGTGTTCGCGGGCGATGCCTTTTACATGGGACAACGTAAAACGCCTTTCACCTGCAAACTTCCTCATTTCCCAAACCTCGTTCATTTGGTTGCTTGCTACATCTTTGTGGATAAGGAGCACCTCGAAGTGCAGGCGCATAGGCCCAGGGCCTTTTGGCGACTTGAATTCCACCAGTGCACCGGAATGCTTTGGCAGCTGGGAAGCCCCGACAAGTGTAGCCGTACTAAGTCAGCAATTGCTGCACGTGGCCGCTTTTTCGCAACACGATCAAACATCGCCCACTCACAGAGCTTTGTACTCAGGTTTAACTTTTTGCCGATTGATTTTTTTCTTCAAATTACAGGTGATAGGTCTTGCCAACCGAGTTCGATTCCCATTCATGGCTAACGTTGAGCGGCGAGTGATAGCTGACCCATTCTCTGAGTCACCCCTTTCACCGACCCACAACTGACCAGTGCGGTGAAATATGGTCAAACAATATCCGTGACAGACACTGTATGGGGGAGGCCTTATTCCAGCAATGGGTTGACAACGGGCTGTTTATTATCAATATAAACATTTGTCAGAAGAGACGAAATGGTTTCAATGGTCATAATCGTACAGAGTAATAACACACAAACAATGCGTACATTCATGTGTAGTATTGTTTACGTATTAAACAAATTGAAACCTTTTGACCTACCACATTCCTCATGAACTCCCATTCCCTGCCGAGATCGCAGTCTACATCCTTTATTGCCCCGGTGACCATGTTCGGTTTAGACTCTACAAGTCTATGTAAGGCCAGAGGGTTTCTATGTAAGGCCAGATGTTTCTCCAACAGTTTTAAACGTGATCCAGATATGGTGGCACAAGACATGAATGTCTACCTTGTATGTTCACAGCCTGACCAAAATGTATTGGTTCAGACTAACGCTCGTCATAAAGATTATATCGGTAACAGCTGCGCTGTGGTGTCAACGTGTAATAAAGCACTTGTAAATAATACAAACAACAAATAGGCTGTTACATGATGTACCAAGAAAAAAGGAGTGCTACCGTGTTTCAGACATTAGCTGATTGGAAGAAAAAAGTGCAACTGGTCATACGTTGTATAAAAACAGAGACGGTGCAGTTTTAATTGCTGAAAAAAATTAAAATAATTTTAAACCAGACGCCGTGATACATCCGTACGTTGTGCCCCCCGTGGTGTTTGGTCCAGCGAATGTAGTGGAAGAGTTGAGGGCCTGTGCAGCAAAGTTGAAGCAGTTGCGTGGAAAATCCACGAGAGCGATATTTATGGAATTAATTTATTATACTTTTCGGAAACATACAATGTTGACTGCACTGTGGGTTAATATTTTTTATTAATTTTTTGAGCGTGAATTCTTTCTTTTTTTGTAAATAACTAAAAAAAATGTCACTCGCAGGCCAAGACGTCTGGCTCTTACACCTTTCACTTTGTACCGTGCGGACGACTCATGTTAGGACTGCGATTCCACATTCTGCGCGTCGAAGCCCAGAGGAGCAGCTCTGCTGTTCTCTGTGCTCTCCGCAGTCGCCGCGTCCCCCGTCGACGAGCCCTCCGTGCCGTCAGATTTGTCCGAGTCGGCCGGCAGCGACGGCAGTGCTTTCTCCGGCGGGCCCCCTTCTTCTGGAGGGGGTTCCGTCGGCCTCTGTGACTCTGGTGCCTGCTGTCCATTGGCTTTTTTTACATCCGACGAATTGTTTGCGTTCTCGTTGAGGGAAGCGTCCATCGCCTCTGGCGCCGTGACTGTACACACAAAGTTCACAAGCTCTTTCTCGGCCAACTCTTGTCCCGGTGCTGCCACCGATGGCGAGGCGTGGGAGTTCGGAGGGTGCGGAAATTCCACAATCACCTCCTCGGAGGAGGCCTTGCCAATCGCCTTGCTTCCATCCTGCAGCCGAGCCAGACCTTTGTTTTCGTGGCCGTGAGAGGCTTGCTTTGCGACCGCGTGCAAGTCCTCGGGTTTCTCTGCCTGCCCCGGAGCGCCTGCCGGCGTGTGAGCGACCCTGGATTCAAACATTATTGATATCTGCAACACGTTTGGCTGCAACTTTGGTCCACCACCCTGCTTCATCTCTAGGTGTGGACAGGAGGAGGACTGAGACACGGGCTGATGTGCGTTGGGTGACAATTCCGATGCGAACGGCTGTTGGCCTGCTGTGCGGGGCGTGCTCTGCTGTTGGCTGCCCACTTGGCTCTCCACGCCCGAGGTCTGGCTCTGTGGCGTCGGCTGTTCCTTTGACGTCAAGCTCCCCGAAGGCGCGCCCTGGCCCGTTCTGTCAGCTGCCGTGGAGGAGGATGAGGAGCAGGAGGGAGGCTCTGGACCCATGGCGACTCTCAGGAAGTCAGGCAGCACTAGGTCTTCTTTGCGCAGCAGACCGCGCTGGTCATCGGCACGCCGCCGCTGTGCCCGGGACAGCAGCTCCAGCCACTCTGCACACCACGTGGCGTTCGCACACGGAGGACGCGCGACCACAGTTCTCAATGCCTCATGCAAACACACACATAAGTGACACGGGTGAGCTAAAGTTCTTCATGCATGTGGGCTACCTCTTTGTTACTGCCATTTGCTGTTGGATCATTTGAATGGTCTTGACTTGTAATGATTATTTGAGATCCTTTGTGTCCAATGGGAAACTCTACCTGATAAGTTTAACACGTATATTTAACACAATATTATCCACAATAAAGGTTTTTTTGGGTTAGATCACGTAAATATAAATGTGTCGTTAAGCCCACCACCACCCGACACAGCCGATTAGTAAAGTTTGTCACGTAAACAAAACGTATGCCAAGTAGTTACTACTTCAGCACACCTGTGTGTTGGAGAGTAAACCCACAGCATTTACAATTCGAATACAATAACAACCAGCCTCATCTACCTGATAAACACTTGGTCCATAAAATTCTATGTTGGAGACCAAGGATCCCATTCTCGTCTGCAATAAATAACGACTCTCCCTCGATGATAGAAAAAAAGTTGCCATTTCAGAAAATTGTAAATATCCACGAATGAAACCCCACACTTACCATCGCTATCTTTAGCTTTTGGCTGTGAAGCTTTCTTGCCCTTGGCAGCAGCGTCCTGCTCTGCGGGTGACTGTCCACTGGTCTGAAAAACGAGAGTTGACCACCAATTGCAAAGGTCACTTTTCTGTTGTTCGGTCATTGATTTTCATTGGTGCATAAGGAGTGTGGCGATGATAACTATTTAAATTGTCTATCCATGCTGGTGGTCAAAGTCACCGTCATCTTCACTATCAACTTCACTCATCAGCTCTCATCATCATTTGCCATGTTCAACATTCAGAATTTCCAGTGCCGACATCATCACCATTGTCCTCATCATCATCACCATCACCATCACCACCGTGACCATCTATATCCATCAAACCCATCGTAAAAATCAACATCTTTACCATCACCATCATCACAAATATTATTATCATCATGATCACCGCGATCGTTGTCACCACCATACTTCCTTAACATCAACAATATAATCCATCATGAGTGTAGAGGATCTTTTCTGCTTTCAACAACATCAGGAGTGTCGATCAGGCAAGATTCTGACCTGACTATAAGCACCTGTGACCAGATGCTTGCACTAACAATGTTTTATCCAGACAGATGTCAGCGCTCTCCCACAGTGCATAAATATACCTGGCGCATCTGTTCATCTCTAATTCCTCCATTCTTGCTTATGGAAGCAAAATGTTAAGGAGCTATATGCCCGGGGTGCCGCAGTGGTGAGATGTTAGCTACCTCCCCTGGTATGCAGGAGGTCATGGGTTCGATCCCGACCTTGACGCCTGCTGTATATTTGGAGTTTGCGTGTCTCTCTTTCCCCGCGATCGTGTGAAATTTTCTCCGGGCCCTCTGGTTTTTCCCTCCACATTTAGAAACACGCATTTAGAGTATTTGGCTGCGAGAAATGTCCACGCGATAAGCAACTTCGTTGAGTTATCATTTGTGGCCAGGTCGCTTCTGAAAAATAACTAAATAGCTCAGTTGGGCCTTACCTGCTAAAATAAAAAAAGTTTCAGTTATTTTATAGTTTCAATTTCGAGATCTGCTCGCCACGAGACGGCTCAGGAGAGAGTTTGTGTCGTTTTTCAATCCCTCCGTCAAAGGCAGGCAGACTCCAGAGAGGTTGACTCTATGGTCCATAGTTTGGGTTGCATTGCCACAATCGCACCATTGTGGCCTGGATCTTACATTTTCTGTGGCTTATGGCATTATAGAACGAGCGGTGCGGGTTATTCTTGCACGCTCTGCACATTGCTACCGTGTACGACGCCGTCGCAGAATGAGCGGGCAAAGCTGAATTTGTTTACAATCGGTTACATTGCGAGGATTGTAAAAAAAAATACTTTGCCTCGTACATGAACAGCCCTTTGACAACCCCACTACTCAATAAAGGAATCGCCCTCCCAAGTATAAATCCAAGTTTAAAATCCTGCTTAGCTACTTAGATCTGACGAGGTCGGGCACACTGCAGGTGATTAAAAAAAAATTAGTCAATCACCGATTATTCCGAATTGAATAAGATTAGGCACTCACGTTTGATAATGCAAAGATAACAAGACAAGGCATTTGTTTTGTAACAGCTTCCAATGCAACGTTGTCCTCATAAGTGTTTAATTAGCCATACGGTAACCAGAGTGTCGGGGCTAAACACACACGTCGGCTTTCGCGACCAATATTATTCATAATAGAGGTTTTTGGGTTAGATCGCGTATGAAGAATGGTTTGACCTTCAATCCAATCCGAAGAAAGTGCTTCTGCTGCTTGGGATTTATCTTATTTGGTAGCCTACAAAAATTGGTCTTTGGTCCCAGTATGGTATCAAAATGTCCATCCAAGTAAAGGTCTAGCAAAGCGGTGGTAATTCCTTTGCTGTACTTTACTCTGTAGAAATACGCGACGCCACGTAGACGCCACCTTGAGGAAACTACCCAGCCTACAGGCGAGACGCTTGAGACAATTCGCGAGGATTTGGCGGCAAGAGCGAATCGCAAGCGCCGAGGTGCTGGCGAGAGCTGGGATTCATGGTGGATCACCTTCGATGCGAGTCCAGAGGAAGCCGGAGCAGAATTCACCTCACGCAGCTTGAATTTCCCGTCGATGGTCTTTTCTGTGGCATAACGCACATGACACTGATATGAGGAAAGGAAATACAACAATAGTACCGCTTTCCATCGATAATTAATATGTCCGGGGCCAGTGAAAACGTTCTGGTTACCGAAACGGCGATGTTTTGTCGCGTACTTCAACTGTAGCTCGTTTAAGATAGCGCTCTTCCGATGTGTCCTAAGATTGCGCCGTGTATTGATCAACATTGAGGTCAGCCGTTTCACTCCACGTGCCGGGAGCTTCTGCAGGAACTGAATTCCGACTTATCGCGTAACTCCTTGTCACGCACGGGAACAAGTTACGGTTGTCATCCAATTTAATTTCACCATTTCCGCCTTCCTCGTATCCACGACTTCACAGACGAAGATGATGTACACTTCACTTGGTATCGGACATTACCGGGAAAGCGAATGACCAAAATGCTCAGTGACATTTGTCAATCTCAACATCAGCAGCTGGTAAACAAGACAAAGATCCTTCGTAAAGCCTGAACAGACTGTAGGGGCAAGTGCTGTTAGCGAGTAGCACCTATGAAGGCCGGAACGGCACACGGGGGGGTGGACGGCCAGCACCACGCCTGGCCGCCTTTGTCTCTCTAATGGCGATGTTTACACACTGCACCAGGTACTCAATTGAGGCTGAGTCGACCTAGGGGAGGAGGCCCAGAACAAGTTCAGATAATCGTCACCGGTGTTGGCCGTGAGCAGGAATCGCTCCCCACAACTGGTGAACAACAACAATTGCCATTCGCCACTAAGTGGCGGTGACGTCACCACGACGCTTGTGCCAGGCCTGGAACTGGTAAACACACATTATGACAAACACTTTCTAAAGTCTTGTTGGCTTTGAGAGCCCAAGGGCAATCTGTGATCTGTAAGTGGGTCCTCTGGAGTATCTCCAGTGAGAAATGTTGAAACCTTGGCTCCAGTGGCTCCTCTGGAGCATCTGCGAGCGAGCTTTCAACGTTTCAACTTGTTCAAGTTTGTTTTGTTTAACAAGGTGAGAATTCAAGAGACGATTTGAAAGAAATACCCGGGTCACGGAAATTAAAGCAAAAACAAATAAAAGCAAATACAGCAACGAAGCAAAACAGCAATCGGAGCAAAAACTAAATCTGTCGGAAATATTACACAATCCTAAGTCGATGTTAAATTATAAATTCCCTGTAACGTCAGTCAGCAGATCATTTTTATACCGATCACAGTACAATTACAATGAAGTCAGATAAACATTACACAGACAGAGGGCGATGATTGTACCAATATGTAAACAGAAGAAAGATTTCTTGGTACAAAAATGCAAATCAAAAGGCCCGGTACCTTTGCTGTGGTTGGCAGCTTCGAGCACCACATGCTTGCCGTCCAGCTGAGACACAGGCACGCTCATGTCCAACGCATCTGTGTTGCCGTGCTTAGAGGGCAGCGGCGACGGTACGCGTGGCACGGGGGAAGGGAGACACGTGGGGAACAAAGTACGAACGTGCTTTTGTGAGTTTCATTCAGTACAGGATTCTACGAGGTCGGCCGTTGTTGAAACACGTGCATGGGCGGTGTGAACACGGTGGCCAGAGTAACATTCCCAGCCACGGCTAACGGCAACATGACATGAGTCATTCAGACTCTGCATTCTCGACAGACCTGTTCTCCACCGGAAGACGGCTGCTTGCGTTGTGGCCGAAACGTCGTGAGAATTATTTTATTATGTTTTATTTTTATTATTTTATTATTTTCCTTCTACGTGACTTTACCGAAAGAACCAAGAAGATGGACCTGAAAACACTTTGCAGACCTGAAACACGTCACTGCTGCCAAGAGAGACAGCTGTTCTCGAGTCTGAGTCAATTGAGGAGGCAGAAATAACTTGTCTCGACTACACGTGTGGTGCATAGACAATAGGATTCCTCTTATTCGCAGTGAGGTGGATGTACGTTGAACGTCTTTCGCACCGTACGTAGCCAACCGTGATAATCGGAGGTGCGGGAGAAGGACAACAACCTAAGCACAAAAAGCAGCTCTAAAGAAATGAGTTTTCAATCTAGATTATTTAAAAGTGCATAGCTCCAGTGGCTTCCTAATATCGGAAGGAAAAGCATTCCAGATGGCCGCAGAAGCGCATCTGAAAGTGCGCGATCCAGTGACCATCTGTGTGGGAGGCGCTGTATGCGGATCCCGCTATCTCGTTTGGTTTCACGTCGCACGGCGTGTCGCTGTCCGGTACAACACGCGGTGCGACCTGGAAACAGCGCAACGGCAAGGATCCACGTGGCGTGTCAGATCTGGTCTACAACCTCTCACAGAAGCCGCTAGTCTGTTCACCATCATGCGGAGGTGAACAACAACCTTTTGTCGTGGTTTGAGATACGGTGTGTACGTAATGTTGAACTTCTTTCGCACCGTACGTAGCCAACCGTGCGAATCGGAGGTGAGGAGGGACAACAAACTAAACACAAAAAGCACTTCTAAACAAATGAGTTTTAATTTCAAAGTGCATCATACCTCACAAGAGGCTTCATAATATCAGAAGGAAGAGCGTTCCAGACGGGCTGCGGAAGCGCATCCGAAAGCGCGCGATGCGGCGACCCGTCTTTGTTCGCTGGCGAGTCAAAAGCCGCCGCCGCTACGAGGATGACCGGAGTTTGCGTGTCAAATGTACTTCATCTGAGCGTGGCCTCCCTGCGGCCGGTGCACTGCCGACCGCGACGCCGCGCTCACCATGTAGGCCACCATGTCCTTGAGCTTGAGGCCGTACTTGAGGACCACCGAGTGGAGGACGTCCTCCACCGCCTTGTTGGGCTTGGCCTTGACACCCACCGACTTGGTGATGGGTAGCAGATCAAGCCTGGCGGAGGCACGGACGCGCGAAGATATTTCTCGTTACGTGTAACGTTTTGACACGTTTCCTAATTTTATTAAAACTGTGCTACTGACGGAGTGTCTTGAGAAGTACAAATGTGAATTGGGAAACTCTCGCAAGAGCGGTGCATAACACCAACGTTCCATCTTAACTAAGTTCTTGACTTTGTCTTTCGCGGTGTAATATTTAACCTGCATTAAAAGAAAGTCAGCTGCCGTATACACTGCAGGGATTTAATGAAATTAGCCATCAATGCGATAAGGATTTTGATTAATTGGGCACTTGCTTAAATGCCGTGTGAATTCAAAGTGCTTTCCATCGCATCTCAAACACTTCAATACCCTGCTACGGTCTAGCCTAGTGGTCCCCTCCAGCAGGCCAGGACTGGCCATAGGTCACACAGCAAAATCGTGCTCACACGTCGTCACATAGCAACTTCCAGCTACTAGTACTACACAGTTTGTCGCGCAATCCATTTAAAAATTTGTATAATTGCTCATAGCCCGAATTTGGGGCCGGTGTGTTTACAAATGCCTGGGCCGATTTTTTGTCCCAGTCCATCACTGCCCCCCAGTAGTGGCAGCTGTACCAGTGCGGCACACAAGGCATACGCAGTACCGGCTTGCAAATGGGCACGAGTCTTCCAGCAGGGGGGTGGGGGGCGATGTTGCAACGGCGGTGTTTCCGAGTTAAGTTAACTTTAATTTTAATAATCTTTCGCACCCGTACGTAGCCAACTGCTAATCGTAGGTGCTTGGTGATGGTGGTGGCGATGGTGATGGTGGTGGTGCTGTGAATGCATCTCCAACCTGAAGAGGATCCTGCGCTCCAGCCGGATTTCCCTGTTTGCGAGAGTCAGGCTCTCTTGTTCCAACACCAACTGCTGTAAACATAAAAGAGACAAATGTAAGTTTTAAATACCAGGGCACATCGTACGTTTCACGATGTCTCACGATTGATCAGAATTGCTTACATCTCTTTACGAAGGGGCACCGCGGTGGCAAGATGTTAACTACCTCGCCTGGTACGCAGGACGTCGTGGGTTCGATCCCGACCCTGACGCCTGCTGCTGCTGTATATTTGGAGTTTGCATGTCCGTCTCCCCGTGGTCGTGTGCAATTTTCTCCGGGTCCTCCAGTTTTTTCCCTCCACATTTAGAAACAGGCGTTTAGAGTATTTGGCTGCGATACATTTCCACACGATAAGCCACTTTGTTGTGCTTTAATTTGTGTCCAGGTCGCTTTTGGAAAAAAGCTATTTAGCTCAGTGGGCCGTACCTACTAAAAAATATGTGTTTTAGATAAATAATAATGTCCAATATAAACACGTATTTTCTTGTCATTTCATTATCTACCTGCCCTATGGATTGTTTCAGTTTAGTTATAAAAAGATTTTGTAGCCTCAGGTGGCAGAAACACCGCGGACGTGAAAATCCCTTGCTGGCGTCACTGCCGGCAGAAGGACCTCCACCCAGCTGAGGGTATTTTGGTCTCCTCTTCCACTACTGGCCAATCGTCTTGGGGGGGAAATGGGAGTACCCACACTTTACCCCACCAGACGCGACCTGCCCGTCGACTGAGCATGGCGGAGTGCCCATTTACACTGCCGGGTGGACGAGAGGTGGGAGGAATCAAAATAAAACCTTCCCATTGTTTCAAATTCCATGCCGGGAGATGGAGCGAGCGACCTCTGGCTTGCAAGTCCGGCGTGCCAACCGTCGCCCTCTTGGCAGCTCCATATGGCTTGAAACGACCAACTTGTATTTTGTTCATATAATAGAGGTCTTTTGGGGGTTAGATCGTGTAAATATATAAATATGTCGTTAAACCCACCACCACCCGGCACAGCAGACTGGTAAGGGTTATCACGTAAACAGAATGTGCCAATTCGTCACGAGTACAGCACACCGGTGTGTTGGAGAGCCAAGCCACAACATTTTGTTCACCGAGCAGTAATAATGAAGCCGCTGGGAGAGCGACGCTACGACCGCTGATGATTTCACCAACCACCCGAACAAACGCTGAAGATCCGCTCCAAATCCCTTTCATCAATTTCCTTGTCACTCGCACTGCAGGCCTGAGCGCATCTTAAGCGCAAACAACAATTTGAGGACGGACGGTGGCCTTGTAGGTCAATCAACGATTTAGCCGAGGAGACCGAACTTGTTAAACAATGACGAAACTACGTTGCCAGCCTTCGGTGGACATGTGTCGAGGAACAACAGTGGGGTTTGAGCTGCTGAACCACCCCAAGTTGGTGTCCTCATCCGGTTAGCCTGCAAGTTCTTGGTAGTTGCGCCAACGCACTACCCCCATAGCTCTCCACAGCGTTTTCGTTTTTTTTCCAGGCAGTACTGATAAGCACTATTAGGCACCGCTTTCTGACATTTCTCTCCACGTGCCGGAAGCTTCTACAAGAACTGAACGTCCCCACACGCTGAGAGATTCTCCAAGCTCCACGTGTGCAGAAGTTCGCAGCACGCGGAGCTTGGAACATCAATCATCGATATCCTGGTGTAGTTGTTTCTCTGCATCTACGTCAGCCAATACGAAAGAAGAAGTCGACCTTACTCTCACTTAGGTCGCTCTCTTGCTGATCAGATCACCTGCAGGCTGCCCAATCACCACCCACTAACGGCAGACTAATGCCACGAGTCACTCGCACAAAGCTCATGGCCCACCCTCCCGGTCTTCGGCAAGTCCACTCAGCTCCACATCCTCCCGTGGCGCGTCAGCGCAGAGTCTGCCCTGACCCCCGTTGCTCTCGTAAACTCGCGCCGGGATGAGTCCCGTGCACAGCTCCTCTTAGCCGGTGCTGTCCCCATTTTTTCCTCTTCACCGTGAAATCCTCTGGTAATATGGCGAGTGGCGTGTCCAAGAGGCGGAGCGACTCACCCGGTCGCCATTCACCAGGAAGACGTCGAGGGCTACGACCGCGAGGCCGCGCTTGTCGCACAGCGGGCGCAGCGCCTCGCGCACCGACAGCTCGGCGCTCACGGTGATCACGGCTGACGAGCCGTCGGGCAGCAGCACGCGGCACAGGGGGCCCACGCGGCCCTTCTCCTGCGCGGCCCCGTCCCCGGCCTCCACGGGGCCCATCTGGCCCTGCAAAGACAAAGGCGTAGGATTTGCCCGGATAGGCTTTCAGCAGACTGCTGGGGCAGGCCCTGCAGAGGTGAAGGCCTCCCGTGTAGGCCGTAACAGACTGTTGGCTCAAGTGCTGTCAGCGATCACCTATTAAGGCCGCCATGGCCCAGCCGCCTTTGTCTTCCCAGTGCTGATTTTGACACATCACCAGGTACTCATTTAGTTGTGAGTCCACCCACAATTGAGAGCGGCCTCAGTGCTCATTTGAGCAGAGAAACAGCGGCCATTTCTGTTCTCAGAAGCTGCAGTGGTGGATCACACTGCAATTTTTTTTTTCATTTTACCAGGTAAGGTCCACTGAGCTATGTAGCTCTTTTGAGAAGCGACCTGGCCACAAATGGTGGCTTATCACGTGGAAATTGATAAACTAATTTCTTTAGAACTACTTTCTGTTTTTACTTTGTCGTCCTTCCCCCACACCTCCGATCAGCGCTGTTGGCTACGACTGCTTTCCAAAAGAAGTTTATCATACACACATGCAAATGTGCCAAATACTCGAAATCAGTGTTCTTCATTGCAAGGCCCGTGGGCCACTGGCGGCCCCTGGTGGCCTTTAGTGCGGCCCCTGACATGCAGCTCCCGACAATACACAAATGTGAAAACAGCACATACAGGCGGTGTGGTGGCCCTCGCACTGACTGATATCTTATTGGCAAAAGTGCCCCCCCCTCAAAAAATTAGCTCCAAATGCATTCACAGTATTGCTTTGGAATATTTTAGAAATTTTTGTTAAACGGCATTACGCTTCTTCCCAGATTCCCAGCGTCGCCATGCCAGCGCCTCACCTCGCTCGAGGCCGCTAGCGAAGGTGGAGAATGGAATTCACTCTTGGTGGTCGTCAGGGACCCGACGGAGTTGGAGCGCGCCATGTCCACGCTCGAGTCTGCAGCACAAATCACCGCAGCGCAGCGTCGCCCACGGCACGACACCACGTAAACAAAAACCCACCCACGCCATCGGCAGCGGCTTCCCACGAATCAAGCGATTCCCGCAAGACAGGGGGCACACAGGAAGTAAGAGCAGTTCCAGATGGCCGCAGAAGCGCATCTGAAAGCGCCGTACAATGCGGTGACCTCACCGTCACTACCCCATACCGCATCCGGCTACCCGCACCTGCGACTAGCACAGTCGGCTATGTACGGTGCGAAAGAAGTTCAACGTACGTACGTGCGTACGGCCACGTGTTGAAAGTTGGGGTGGTTCTATGAGTGAATAGTTCACCGATGGGTTTTAGATTACAAATACACAGTGACCCGTTCATTTGGCGACCATCAATGACTGCTGCGATGCTATATGTGGTACGCACTCGAAAACCAACTTCAACGTGAACTTAACTAAAGTTAACTGTATTAAATATGCACAACTACTGGCAACCAAGCCTGCCAGTTTGTGCGCGACTGTAATTCCAAATATCGTCATCATCACGCGTGTCGAATGACACGGAGAGTGTGATGGAATCACAACTCTACCGGTCGTGGTGTAGCGTGTTGGTGTAGCGTGGCGGTGTAGCGTGGTGGTGTAGTGTGGTGTAGGGTGGTGGTGTAGCGTGGTGATGTAGCGTGGTGTAGCGTGTTGGTGTAGCATGGCGGTGTAGCGTGGTGTATTCACAACCCTACCGGAGGTGGAGTCGTGCTCATCTCCGCGTCTGCCCGTGCGGGGGATGCTCGACTTGCTGCCAATGATCCAGGGAAAGCCGCCAACTCCGTGTATCCCACCACCGCCACCGCCACTACCGACAGAGCTCCCCACTTTTCTTCTGCCTTCCTCCTCATCCTCCCCGGCAGCTTTCGTCGCCTTCGCCTTTTTGGTCGACTGTTAAATGGACGAGAAAAAACACAACGAATCAACGTCGTTTCAATCACTTTGGTTTTCGTACGGCGTCGTTTATGCAACGGCATCACACGACGCTGTGCAATCCGCAAAGCACAGAGGCGCACAGGTCAAGGTGCGCTCAGCCACTTCATTCGTTTTCATGCACGTAGGAGGAAAACGGAGCACCGAGAGAAAACCGACACGCTGGTGAAGGTAGCAAGACTCTATCCCGCCGAGGTGGGACGGATGGAGGTAAGTCCTCGGCATTCTCGTACCGCCATCTGCTTTGGCGAGCAAGTGCGGGGCACTTTGGTGCCCGCAGAAAGGGAGTTTCACAACGTGAGTGCGAACCAGCAAGACTCGCCTACGGGGATAGATTACAGGCCACGTGCATAGCCACCATCGCCCGCTGGTTATGATCACTATAATCATCACCATCATCACCTTCATCATCATCATTGCATCATGGTCACTCCCATCGCCAACAACATTGATAACTCCGAAATGCCTCCACCATCATCATCATCACCATCTTATCATTTGGTTACAGCAAAAGTTTCACAAAGTGTAATCCCCCCCCCAAAAGGACACTTTTTTTCCCGCGTAAATACTCGTTACATGGTGTTGTTGTCTCTCGAAATTGAAATAAATTAAAATAATTTTAACAGTTCGGTTAGCTACCGACTTCGTGCTGCGTGGAAGCAAATCATCAAATAACACATTGTTTAAATGCATGCCTATACAGGCCACCATACTTCAATTACCGTTGCTACGGCTATTTTAATACACACAGTGGATAGGGAGGACAGGATCAAAGGGCTCAGATAATGCGCATGCATAATGTACGTTCTCTCATTAATCCCCCCGCCACCCCCACTTTGCACAAGAGCGCAGAAGCGTGGTCACCACATCTACGCCTCTATATAAAGAACGAAACAGACGGACTTCTCCACAAATCTGGCTGTCGCCTGATGAAGCTAGTTGTAATTACTGGCGAAACGTCGTACTCTGATTGTAAATGTCGTGGCTTGGCTCTCCAACACACCGGTGTGCTGTACTAGTGACGAATTGGCCACGTTCTGTTTACGTGACAACCCTTACTAGTTGGCTGTGTCGGGTGGTGCCGGGTTTTAACGACACATTTATATATTTACACGATCTAACCCAAATAAAACTATTATGGTGTTGTTTTAGCAATTGCAGGAGTTTCGACAAAATCTATGCATGGAAGCGACTTCATTCTTGGTCACATAACCAACTCGGGATCCACTTGGGTGCCGTTAATTTTGGTTATAGAAGAACAACATTCAAACAACACCTCTCGTGGTACCGCTCCCCTTTCGTCTCACACTTCTGCCCAACAGCAATTCCCAGCACAGCCTGGCAGCACACGCGAGGGTGGCTACTGCATCCCCTCGTTATTCACCAACTTGCTATCCGTGATGTTCGCTACCCACGAATTGCATCTGGAACTCTACACGACTATTGCACCGAGAGAGAGCGAGAAAGAAAGTGATGAGAGAGGAAGTGATGAAATAAAGTGATGTGAGAAATATTGTTGGGTCTTTCGGTAAAGTCATACAAAAATAACAAACACATTCCTGCAAAGGGAGCTGGTAGGAACGTTGGGTTTCTCGGTCAATGGCCAGGGTCAACGGCGGCGTGGTGTATTCCGTAAATATGGCCGACTGTGAGGGCGGGCACAAGCCGGCGTGAGTAGGTTAAACGTTGAGTTTTATAAGGGCACCACGGGGTGACCAGCCCCTCCCCACCCAGCCCTACCCTCCCCACCCCACCCAGCCCCTCCCCACCCAGCCCCTCCCCTCTCCACCCAGCCCCACCCCTCCCATTTTTTGATGCACGATGGACGGACACAATAATCCCCTGTGGGCTGGTGGTTCCTACCAGTAAAATAACAAAAGTTACTTTCTTTGAACCTATCTACGTGACTTTACCGAAAGACCCAAGAATATGAATTCCTGCAGTCACGAAAGCTTTAAGTCAAGATTTGATGCGAGAAAGTGATGAGATAAATTTACCGTATTTAATAGCTTTTTACGTATTTATTTACAGTAATTCGTGAAAAAGTATAGGTTTTCATTGGCCAATATAATTATCCGCGACGTTTCCTATTCACGAGCATCTCCTCGTCGCGAATAACGAGGGAACGCCGCAGACAGGAACCCTACGCCGTCAGTTACAAAGTTACGCAACCGTTTGGTCGCGTTTCAGTGTCGGGGGCCACAAGTTACCAATGTTGAAATTCACCGCAGCGACATTTTGGGGCACTTCTTCCTGCACCTGCAGATGGCTTCGTGAATATCAACGTTTAAAGATCTCCGAGATATCAAAACTATTGAGTGTATGTTCACAAGTACTGCGTGTGGTCAATGCAGACTTGATGCCTTGCAAAATGTTTCTATTTGGTGTTTGAACATCTTTACACCTCCTGCTTTATTTCCAGAAAGGGTAAAAATCTATTCTTCTTTTTCATGCTATGCAAAGGCTTCAGGCGAGGTTCAGTGAATGACTGCTGATGCTGCTGCTCCACTACCGGCGTCTCAGGCTGAATTTCCACAGTGGGCCACGGTACGCGGCGTGCTTTGCAATTGGGTCAGAGGTCTCGACAGTGGCATCGAGGACTCCCTCCGATTTTCCCACAGGTAGGAGCACCCACAGCGGCTCTCTTGTGAAAGCTGCTCAGGAAAGGAAGTTTCTGTACCCAACCGGACAGGACGGATCAATTTTCTCTCTTGGCTCAGCTTGCGTTCGCTTTGAGTTCATAATTCACCATCCGTCTATTTTTCGCTCGGTGGGGCCCAGTGTTGGCTGCACCTTGTTTTTTATCAGAATCTTTACTTGGACTGCGGAAGGAGGAATCCGCTGAGCCTTGAAGCTCTTTTTTGCATCACAGATGCCCAGTATGGTCGGGTGAGCGGAATGCAAGAACTAAATGATCTCTGGAAGCTGCAGGTCCCTTGAGTAGGCAGGAAGCACAGGCACTGGGCTCGCAATCTCTCCACTTCCTTCCCGTCGTGCGGCCACACCGTGGCAAGCGGCGTGTGGGTCGCGTTCCGTCACCGATAGGAATTTTGTCGTATGCATTACACTTATCCGCAGCTATTGAAGGGACCCGCTTCACCGATAAGAAACATTTGTCTGATAAGTTATTTTCACGTCCAGTGTATCCAGATAATAAACTCCCCTTATCCACAATGCGCAGGTGGGACGCTTCGGAGGGGGGGGGGGGCAGCGGCATTTGCGTGCGGGGAACTTTTTGGTTTTAACCGCTTTCATCCACAAATGTCACCACCGCCCCTTGGGAGTCGTCGCGTTCAAAAACGCATCGGATGAATTTTCCAATCCAGTCCTCTTATCCGCAAAACTTAAAAAAGCATTGCAAATACAGGGATAGGAAGATGTGTAAGTGGTGTAGTGCAGTGGCGCAATGCGGTGTGGTGTGGCCTCCCTCGTGACTGTTACTGAGGTGGCAGTCCCACGAGGCTGTGACGGTGGAAACGACGACGACATCGACATCGTCGTCAACCATTGCCATCATCTCGTGATCATCTTGTCATCATCTTCTTTTTCTTCTTCATCTACTCATCCATTATCTTCGTTATCATCTTGCAGAGCTTCTTTGGTCTATCCACTGCTTATCAAAGACCACCCCCATTCACCAACCGTTGGGTGGAGACCTCCCCCCACGCTGTCGCAATCCCCCCTTGTGGCCGTGCAGTGCCAACTGTCACTCCTGCACATCGGCGGATCTCACGGCTCCGTATTGGTCTCGCCCAGTTGGTCGTCTTCTACGGGTGCATTCTCTCCTTTCCTGTGGCTGCCTACCCATCGCCAATCTCTTTCACCGGAACATCGTCCCTGCTTGCTATGCATCAGGCGTTCAGCTTCTCACAACCTCATCAACCCGCCCCCCCGGCGATTTTATGAATCGTCATGATTATGGGGCACTATTTAATTGAAGAATCGACTTCTTTGGACCGGCTTGGGCAGTGGTACCACAACAGAGAATGTTCAATCTTTTAAGTCTACCACTTGTAATACCGACTTGCATTGGACCCGTTTGGGCAAGCGGTACCACGACAGGGAAATGCTTAGTCCCGTAGCTGTAGACTAACCAAGTCAAATGTCCATGCGATACAAGTCATCTTGTTTGTGTGGTGACAAAACAAATTTGAGGAAACTACTGCGAAACCAGTCATAGAATATCATCAAAAGAGGAAGCAAAGGGGTCAATCACATCCCCATTCTCCCCAGACTTGGCCAACAGCGACTTCCACATCCCCGCGTGTGTGTATGTTTCTACATTAATAGTTTAGTGCATTCGATATTTGCGCCGCGCCATTCGCATAGCGTGATGCTCTCGCGAAGGCGCTCTGTGGTTCTACAGGCGAGTATATAGCGGGCGTCACGGTGGCTAGGAGATGTTAACTACCTCGCATGGTATACAGGAGATCGTGGTTTCGATCCCGACCCTGACGCCTGCTGTATATTTGGAGTGTTCTTCCCTCCACATTTAGAATCAACATCATGCGTTCAGAGTATTTGGCTGCGATAAATGTCCACGTGGTAAGCCGGGCCGTTGAGCTATCGTTTGTGGCCAGGTCACTTCTGAAAAAGAGCTACACAGCTCAGTGTGTCTTACCTGGTAAAATAGAAAATAGTTCCGTTTAGAATTTGCTGCCAGAAGGCGGTGATGTTGGACCATGTCGGCAAGAGTTGCCAACTATATTTTTCAAAATGTGTCACGTGATCCTTAACTAGATGTCACGTGATCCTTAACTAAATGTGTCATGGGATCCTTAACGTGCACTGTGAAGCACACGTTTCAACAAAAATGTTTGAATACGTCGGCAATATTAACCAGGGTGGTCGACGGTAAGGAACTGCGAACCCTCTGCAACAAGTTGTCAAATGCGCTACCTTTTGGATAGGCCGAGTGGTGCGTACTCTGCACTCGTGGCTTGAAATGAAAACGTGGATTTATTCCAGGAACTGATTTGAGGGCTTAAAAAATTAGATGAGCCCAATGCATTGCACTTGACTTGGGACCACGTGGCAAGCAAGCACAATATTTCCCAGGTCGGTGATTGTCGTGTGTCAGGTCATGAAGATTTCTGATCGCCCCCTCGTGTTTTAAATGGTCGTGCATGTGAATATTTATTTAATGTTATTGTTCATTCATTCATTTGAGAATTCAAGAGATCAAGGACGGTCTCGTGCAAGAGTGACCTGGGACAGTTGATATAATAGTGGACGGCTGATGACCAGTGCTGTCATCTTACACCGCCATCTTCCTCTCTATATGACCATCTCCTCTATTGCCATAACAACAGAGCTGCTCGTGATGAAGATCACTACAATTTCCCATCGTTATCGTAACCGTTAAACTGCCACTTCCAAGATATAAACCCCCTTTAATATAACGGACCTCACTATGTTAATGTGTACGCTCTACGGACTCGATGCATTATTGATGGACTAATCATGGTTTTACAAATGATTGTCAATTATAAAGGCCAATTAGAATCTCTCGTAAAATTATCTCTCTCTGTACTCGAATGTAATTCAATTACTTTGGTTTAAAATGCAACATTTATTGATGCTAGAGATTTCTGTAGTGAAGTTTTTTTCTTTCTAAACAGAGAACGGTCCTGTTCCTGCGAACCATGAGGGGCCATTCTGGCCGGGCGGGAGACGGCGTGCGCGTTTGCGATGTACAAAATAATAAACGGCTTGCTCGTACATTTTATTTACCTCAGTGCAGGAGAAATACAGTGCATTCCCTTGGATGCATTCTGCAGACACAATGCGTCGGGAAAGAGGCCCCGTCGATGGAGCGCGAGACGGTGGCAACCGACAATCGTTTCGCGTGTACAACCATCATGGTAAGGGGGTTAATAGTGAGCAACGATTACTCTGTGTGTGTTACGCGCAGGGTGAATTCAAGTCGTGAGGGGATCGGCACAGCAGAGGGTTAAATAAAGGGCCGCTGAAACGCAGGGCACGTCCACAACCGCTTTCGTAAAAAAATTAAACATCCCGCAGATTCTTTAGGCTGAAAACCGTCGCGTGGGTTTCAGGGCCAACGCTGCAGATGGCCCCACAGCGGCACGGCCTCCATTGGTCCTTGACCACGTGGCGCAGAGACGATGGAGATGGCGAACCCTGGACGCCGTTTCTGTTAAAGCTTCGTTACCCAGCAGGCCATGCAAGCAGGTTCCTGTGCGTCCGCTCGAGCGTACAGACAGAGAACCCAGGAGCGGATCGCGAACTCTGAACGCCGTTTCTGTTAAATCTTCGTTGCCCAGCAGGCCATGCAAGCAGTTTCCTGTGTGTCCGCTCGAGCACATGGATCACATTTGCCCGCAGAGGAAAGTAATCGCAATATTTAGTTCTGATCTTAATTGAACCAATGTATGCATGACGTTGAAAATGTTTTCGCACCGTACATAGCCAACGGTGCTAATTGGAGGTGTTCTCAAAGTTTTTCAAAATTCCATGAGGGAATGTAAATGCTCCATCGCTCTTGGGTTGCAAACGCCGTACACAACATGGACGCACATCGGAGAGGTATACAGCACAGCTGCATCACCTACCCAGTACAAAACTCCAAAGAGACATGAACGTTTAAGCATTCAACCATTGTTCTTATAACTGAGTTCTTTTACATTCTTGATTTGTATTTTTGCGATTTATAAGACACTTGAGCTCAAAACTAGAGCTTTAAAATAAAAATACTTTAAAAGTATATAACTGTTTATGCCATAGACATATAATCTACATTCTGCTTAATAAATGATAAATGTTGATTTAAAGCTTTCGTGACTGCAGGGATTCATATTGTTGGTGCTTTTGGTAAAGTCACGTTTGATATTTATATTATTTTATTATTTCCCTTCTACGTGACTTTACCAAAAGAACCAAGAAAATGATAAATGCCCACGCCCCAGTTATTCCACCTTCTTTTATACTGGTGGTGAGCTGAAATGTGTTTTAAAAAGTGAGCAAAACGCTCATTTCGCTGCACATTAACTGTAAATTACACACAATAACTTTACTACCCAAATAATCTTTTCATAACACTGGATGTGTGTGGAGGGCTCGTGTACCTGTTAATGTAATACTTCATAGCTCCTTATGGGCCATAACTCAATGCCAAAATGATTCACAGACGACACTTTAATATGTACCTCACGGCCGATTTAAATATCGAATGATGCCATGAGAAGCAGCGGCCTAAGAGTGTGACTGAAGGCTTAACAGTTCCTGGTATGATGGAGAGAAGACGAGATAGCATTATACAATGCACTCATAGGCAAGTAGCAGGCTCTTCCCACTTTCTCCTGGCTTCAGTATCATCACACTCCACCACACAGCCGCCTCTAGCCCAAAAAAAACGCACATCGAAAGTTCGATGTCAATCTTACATTCTGCCACTTCCCCGCAACATCCACAGTCCCATACTTTCACAAGTATAAAACAAACAACAATTAAACAATTTCAGATCTTTAAATCTGATGTTACATTTAAATTCAGAACCTGTCACAAACTGTTGGTTAACGAGGTAAATTATATATTTTTAAAAAATATGTTTGCCACCGAATTTGTCAACGATTTTGGTATTTGGATTTTAAAATCTCATTTATGTTCAGCACGCTTAAATGCTTGCGGATACAAAACGTTATAAGCGCAAGTTTAACATTAAAACAAAAATAAACTAAAATGTATCCCCCCCCACCTTTCAGAGGCCCACATTTTTACATGTTACATTTTCTAGTTGGAAACACATACTGTACTCGACAATATTGCTGCCAAAGCTTATCTTTCTAACCATTCTAGAAAACGATTAGAATTCACATGAGTCACCCACTCACTCATTCACTCACGATTATTCATTAATATACTTACCAATACAAACATATTCCATGTGGGAGATGCATAGCTTATAATTAAGGTATGCTGGTGAGGGCTGCTACTCACTGACACTTTTATTGAATCTGATCTATAATTGTACGTATGTCATTGCTCAGCAATGTTAGGCCTTACTTCCAGGGTGGGAATTAGGATAAACAATGGAGTCTAATGCCAAACCACTGAAAGTGATTGGGTGTGTGTCGAGTTAGTTGACACTTAAGGCACCACCCACTCACAGCTGAACAAGTAAAATTATTCTTACTCTTCGCCTAGCCATGCCTCCTGCATAGATTGGAGTCACAAGGGCCAGGCGTGATGATGCTTCACCAACACAAACTGGAGGGCAGGCCTTGAGTTTACATAGATACACTCGAAAGCAGCCACACTCGTGTTTACAGTTATTATTGTCAATCAAGGAAGTAATATATTTTGCTGAAAATGTGACATTTTAATGCCGGCGATGTTCCATTAGCTTCGAATAAACAGTCCGTGAAAATCTTTAACACATTACGAAATGACCAATGCTTCATTTGCTGATGTAGAAGTTGATAAAAAAAGAATCTTGGCCTCATCTTGACTCGGGGCAGGAGTGTAGCAATAAATCGCCAAGGAGGAAAAGGCGTCAGATCTTTTTGGAGATGAGCGAGTAGCGATAGCGGCGTACCTTTTTGGGCGTGACCACGGTGCTGGACGCGCTGCCGGGCTTTTCGGTGGCGGCCGTGTGGCCTGCGTCGGCAAGCGCCGACAACAGAGGGCGGCCCTCCACCTCGGCGAGTAGGCACTCCTGGTACGGGGGCGACTTGAGAAAACGTGAATAGCTGTCGAACTTCATCAGGTTAAAGATCTGCCGGGGCACAAGGGGCACGACAAAGACGCACACACGCACGCCACACACACGACGTGCAACGCAACAAACGCACACGGGCGCAATCACACACAAACACAAGCAGGGACAAAGGGCGAGTGTACTTGCACCCACAGGTACGCAAACATTTCTTATTTCTTAAACACCAGTATAGTATTACCATGTAAATTAGAACATGGCAAAAGAGGTGGTGGAACAGACACAATTCTCAACCTCTTCATTCAACCAATGCTATTGAATCGACCGCACGAGGACATTATTCTCCATCACACTATGTGATTAGCCTCAGTTGATAGTAAAAGGGCCCAATGCCATCTAAGCCCTAACTGCCACAAATGTGCTGCATTCTTGTAAAATCTCACAGCACCTGCAGAAAAATGTCAGGGGTGTCATAGTGGCGAGATGTTAACTACCTCGCTGGGTATGCAGGAGGTCGTGGGTTCGATGCCGATCCTAACGCCTGCTGTATATTTGGAGTTTGGATGTTCACCCTGTGATCGCATGGATTTTTCCCGAGTCCTCCGATTTTCCCTCCACATTTAGAATCAACATGTGCTTAAAGTATTTGGCCGCTATAAATTCCATGTGATAAGCCACTTCGTTGAGCTATCATTTGTGAAAGCTTCTGAAAAACAGCTCTCCAGCTCAGTGGGCCTTACCTGGTAAAAGAAAATAGTTTAGTTTAATCGTCTAGCTTAGTCAGATATCGTGCTGAACAACGCGTGGTGCAACCCAAAAACAATTCATTGGAGAGCTCTACAACACAACGTGGAAACCTACGTGCAGTACTGAGGCCTTGGTTCGGCCTACCCAATAATAAACAAAACAAAAAAACCTTGTGAAGGAATGCATGCGCACGCCACTGGAGCTGTTTTCTACACAGGCAGCACGCGTGGTGACCCCACGTCAGCGAGCGTGCGCGTGCACGCACCTGTTGCTGTTGCACGTGGAACATCGCAGGGTGCGGAGCATTCAGGTTGTCGTCCGAAATGTGCGCCTGGCTGTCGATGTTGACGGGCATGGCAGCCTTCTCCGACAGGAATCGCTCGTAAATCCGACGCGCCGTCTGAAAGAGCTGGGGGGGTGGCCCCCACAGTAGAAACGCGGCGCGTGAGCGCGAGTGCATTGGCCGCCCGTCTTAGGTGCTGGCGGCTTTTCACGGTTCAATATTACACTTGTGGCTTTTGGCAGTCGACGGTAAAAAAAATAAGCGTTTGATCAAAAATGACACGTAAAAAAAACATTCAGATGGCATTCCTTGCAAGGGCCAAAATGTATTTTGAAAGAAATCATAACGATGCACACAAAATAAACGGCAACTAGTTTGCAGATTTGAATTTGTCATATGCATGTGGCTTCAGTGACCAAAATACAGACCGCATTGCAAAGTAAATACTGCATTCCCATTCCAAACTGATTCATCATGCTTGGCTACACTGCCTTGCCACGTTTTTTTATGGCTTTGTGACGGGCTCTCTTAAATAATAACATTATGAATCAGCCACTGTTTAGAACAGGGGTCAGCAAACAAAACGGCAATAAAAGCCATTTCTTTCGAATTCGGTAAAAAGACTCAATATTTCAAGAGCCGCAATGCACCGTGCGGTGAATACGAGACGGTGGGTCCTTAATAAACGACGTGACGAAGCGGTCTTTTAAAGAGTCGCGTTCGGCTCCAGAGACTCTCACTGCCTTGTGAGTCTGAGCCTGGCTGAATGTGCACTCCAGGTACCTGGGCAGCCTGGTCCGACGGGATCTGTCGAAAGTCTTCACACGCCTGCCAAAACATGATGTTCTCCTCACTGAACTCCTTCTTGAGAAAAGCCTGGAGGGGACAGCACATCGTGAGCTCACAGCGCAAAACAACAGCGACACGCACACACATACTTTACCCTTTCCCATTCCCATGACGTACGGCATCAGTTTTTTCTTACGATTCTGTTCCGATGACGTACGTGTTTTTCGACATGTACGTCATCGGAACGAAACCAGAAGGAAAACTAAGATAAAATAACTTTATCGGTACCGAGGCTCCCACAATGCCATGCGGGAGGGTGTGTGGCAAAGTTTGGCACCAGCTATGGTAGAGTGTGGTCGTGTTGCTACGGTTCTATGCGGTGAGTACAGTATCTTTAAAAACAAAGGCGCTACGGCTCTCTAAATAATATTAACGCTGCACCGCTTGCAAGTTCAGAGATTCAGCGGTGAACGGGACACCCACCCTGCAAGTTGCAGACAGCTCGCAAAGGGAAAGGGTTAACTGCGATAAAGGTCTGGAGCACCTTCACCGTTTGTCCTTCAAAGTCATCGTCCCTCAGGGTCATTGCTCCTCAAAGCCGTTAGCCTCCTCCAGCTGTTAGCCTTTCAGACAAATGTCCATTATACCGCTATTTTTGTACAAGGACACTGTTCTTCAAATCGTTGTCTCCCAGCTGTTACCCTCTAAGGGCATTGTTTCTGAGCGCTGTCAAGCCAGAGGGGCAAGGGAATGCACCGTGCGAGCGCGGCCGCCAGTCACCCCAGCCTGCACGTGCACTGTGACCTCCTGTGTGCCGTCGCCACTCCACGTATCCTCCATGCGCACCGACACTGGCCCCAATAGGTTACACCCCCCCCCCCCCACCGCCCAACATGATTGTGGTGGGGGGGGGCAACCGAAGAAAATTGACCCCATCCATAGGATGAGCTGCCCTCGAATTATATTTAAAGAAACAAAAGGAAAACTTCCCAGACTTGCTTCACTGTAAGCCGGTTTGTGACGAATCATCCACTAGATGGTGCTGTAACATGACAGGATGTAACGACACGCTGTAATTGAAGACCCATCTATTCTATTTGATCTTTTTATTTCACCAGGTAAGGCCCACTGAGCTATAGAGCTCTTTTTCAGAAGCGACCTGGCCACATATGATAGCTCAACGAAGCAGCTCATCACGTGGGAATTTATAGCAGCCAAATACTATAAAGGGGTGTTTCGAAATGTGTAGGGAAAAACCCGAGGACCTGGAAAAAAATCCACGTGACCACGGCGGCACCCCAAACAGGAACTGCCTGGCTTTCACTTGTCTCGAAGGCACTTGACAACGCTGAATTTTACGTCTTTATTTTATGTTCTCATTGGAGGTGCGGCTACCTCCTCCACGCGTGGGGATTTCAGGAGTCGTCAAAGTGCGACTGCGGCGCAGTGCAAAATGCATCGCTCACAGTGCCCAACGCAAATTTGAATCCCTGCGGCAACACCAGACACCGTCGAATGGCTTTCCAAGCTCGGCACATATGGTAAACAGTCCACGATGGATCAACGGCCTCAGCACGCACGACCTGCCGATCGACTAAATCCAGGGGTCGGCAACCAAAATAAGATACTTTTTCGGGGAATTTGGTAAAAGAAAAAAAAATATTTTAAGAGCTTCAATACACAAGAGAATCACGAAGCCGGTCCTTAAAGAGCCGCACGAGGCTCCAGAGCCGCAAGTTGCCGACCCCTGGTGAGGGCCTCTCCCTGTGCCACGCGCACCGTGAAGAGCTGCAGGCCGAGGGGGTCGTGCAGCAGACGCTCGAAGCACACGGCCCAGCTCGCCGCCCGGCCTTCGTAGCCCGGCCCGCATGGCATACTGGGAAGGCTCGCATTGCTGCTCAGGCTCTGCTCGCTGCTGCACGGGTGCAGGTCCCGTCCGCTCAGCTCTGTAAGGGACATGACAGAGCACGGGGAATTCAGAACCTCGGCGTGAACGTTCAGCTCCAATGGTATCAGCTCGAGAGCGATTGAAGATGCTCCGAGCACGTGGCCGTCACACCTAACGACACGCGGTACAACCCGAAAACAGATCAGTGAGCTGTACATTGTAATTGCAAAAATCGTGGCAGTAAAATTAGACGTATATAAACATACAAATAATTGTATATATAGGTAAATATAAATATCTATATCGGTGCTCTGCGGTGGCGAGATGTTAACTCCCTCGCCTGGTATACAGGAGGTCATAGGTTCGATCCCGACCCTGACGCCTGTATATTTGGAGTTTGCATGTCTCTTTCCCCGTGGTCGCGTGGATTTTTCTCCAGGTCCTCCGGTTTTTCCCTCCAAATTTAGAAACACGCGTTAAGAGTATTTGGCTACCGCTATAAAGTTCTACACGAAAAGCCACTTTGTTGAGCTAACATTTATGGCCAGGTTGCTTCTGAAAAAGAGCTACTCCAACATCGATGTTTAAGTATAGTCCTGTGCACAATTCTTTAAAATTAAAAAAATAATTAACCTTTACATCTGGAAAGCCAATAAACCACATTGGCAGTGTGCAGCGCGCGAGATAACGACTTTGCTCTCAGCAAAGCCACGGCTGCTTACACAATTTCCAGACGGTGTAAATCGAGGTTTGAGTTTCCAGGCAGTTTCTGATTGAACAATGTTTTTTTATTTGCGCAACAGAGCCGCTGTGTTCCAGTGTAGCGATGGTCAGACTCAAGAGTTGCCAGGTGACATCCGATGATTCAGAGCTACTCCTGTTCTTTAACAAACCGAGATCTACAGCAGTTGGGAAATTGGGGGGGCTATGAAGTCGACATGCTGGTAATTGGGGGGGGGACGGGTGCTGTTTGATCCATACTTCACCATGCCGGTTGGTGCAGGCTGGTGCAAGTAGCACGTCTCTTCGCTCGCTGAGCGTCTGGCTGGTATGAACGTCCTATCCACTAAAATTCACTCATCAGGCCCTTGAGTGTGCCCATTGTGAGATGCTTCACAATGGGCACCACCGATTAGCACGGTTGGCGACGTACGGAGCGACGAATGGAGAAAGTATTTGGCCAAAATCAAGGTTTGCAAACGACAAGGTCACGATGACGACCAGCGTGAAGGGCAAGAAATGACTGAGGGTGAGCCAAAGCAGGAGAGAGCAATATTGGACATTTCAACTCAACGGCAAAAAGCGGAATACCAATGCATCTGTAGGAAGGAAACCTCTATTAGGGAGGAAGTTTCACATTCTTGCATATTTACAAAAAAAAAAATAAATAAACTGAAAGGTGCCCAGAGAGACATGGGAGAGTTGCATCCTCGGAATTACACTGAGAGACGAAGATAAGCACAGGCAGATGAGTGGCATTGTGCTGAACGTTGATAGAAGTAGGCTTGGCCTGGACACATCGCAAGAACTGATGACAGCGAATGACAAGACGAGCGATGGGGTCGCAGCCAAAGGAAAAAAACGTGCTAGATGACGACCAATTGTGGAGATGGAGTCACATTTTCAGTTCACGAACAGGAGTGTGGTGGATTGTGGCATTGCCGGGCCACAACGGATGGTGACGGTACTGAGAGGTATTCATCCAGCAGCAGATAGACATTAGCCGTTGAAGAATATACTGATCACAAAAATTCGATATTTTTTGTAGCGAACATTGTAATAAAGTACCATGTTCACAACAACTTACTCTAAAGCTACCAATGATGATGTCCATTTGTTATTTCCCAAAGACTGACATCCTTAAGATTATCTGGGATCAAGGTTAATTAACACAAATCGGAGGGACATCCAAAGCCAGTCTTAGGATTCCTAGAATGCAACATCTGTGGCCTAAATTCAGACAGCCAGACGAAGGATTACTCTTAGAATAATTCTAATAATGAACGTATCTAAACCATTCAGATGTAAAAAAAATGTCTGAAGAGAATGCGTTGAGTTGAGCCACTTCAAAGGCTCACAGAAAATCGCGTTACATCTCCACCACAAGAGCATCGACTGGGATCACGACACAGTGCACCGATTACTGCACTTAGCCCACTACACCAATGCAGTACGACACAAAGCGCACAGGTAAATACTGTGGAGGAGAACATGGTACATGCACAAGCAGAACAACGAGAGCGCAGGGCACACACAGACGCACGTTAACGCACCGTCAACATATATCACAAACAAGCACTAAGATCTGTCTTTAAATAACTTTGCCCGAATTCAACCCAACGTTCATTAACTCCAAAATCCCCACCCAGTTAGTACAATGTTGCGTTCTGTATTAAACGTCACGTAGTAGTCTATTAGCCCAAAGCAGAATACTCATTGGTAGACTATAATCGCTGGTAGACTAATAAGTAATTCCAATGCGTTTTGTTATCGCAGCCATAGTTAAATTAAAAACCAAACTATTTAAAATTTTACCAGGTAAAGCGCACAGAGCTATATAGCTCTTTTTCAGAAGTCAGCTGGCTATCACAAATAAAAGCTCAATGCAGTTGCTTATCACGTGGAAATTTTACAGCAGCCAAATACTATAAACACGCGTTGATTCTAAATGTGGAGGGAAAAACCGGAGGACCCAGTGAAAAATCCACGTGACCACGGGCAAAGAGAACACGCGAACTCCAAACATACAGCAGGTGTCAGGGTCAGGATGGAACCCACGACCTCCTGTCTAGCGGGCGGAGTAGTTAACACCTCGCTGCCGCCGTGTAAACGCAAACGCAAGCGATCCGATATGAATTTCTTGCTTGGCAAAGGCCAATGCTGTCGGCAGCGGTTCCCGGCGCACTTCGGCAATACCACAAACACTTCGCTTGCGAGTCCGCCGCTGGTTGTCCATTGCTCTGTCTCGAGCGGTCGACGGCGTCGCGAAAACGGGGGGCAGGCGGGGAGGGGAATCCACCGAGGATCAAGAGCGGTGCTCGCCGTCTCGGGAAGAAAGGAAGGCGAGAATAAACGCGGGGCGGCGCGGGCTGTGAAATGTTTCGTCGAGAGACGCATTAAGTAGTTCCCGGAAAAGGAAAAAACCTCACGCAAAGCGCAATCACGAGGGGGGGGGGAGGGGGAGTCCTTCTTTTTCGGTACCGATAAGCACAACTTCCCAAAATCGGCAGCCGCAAGCAGTCGCAGCAGCCAGGAGAGCTGCCTAGCGACAAGGCGATACCATTGGCCGCACGCACGAACGTAGAAACCCCTCACGGGCCGCGAATGCAAAAACTAAAAATAAATTATACATAGTCTTTGTCTGAATTTGCAGTCGTGGTTATGACTGCTTGCAATGAGAAGCTTTAACTTGGCTCAGCGATGATACTTGCATGCATTTTTACTTGGATTGTTAGGAACAGTGCTGAAATGCGGATAACTCATTCATCTTTACAATTAATGAGTTGAAGAAAGAGTGCAATCTGAATAAAAATGGAAACAAAAGAGACGCGCAACAATGTTTCTCGTGACACAGTCGACCGCAAGCCATCCCTCGTTACGCGGCAACTCAATATACAAAATATCGCTCAAAAGTAACTTATAAAATTAGGAAACAAATTCGATACATACGGTGCGCTAAATTCGAATTCACTTAGTTCAACACGCAGGCTTTCGCAACCAACGTTATCCATAATACAGGTTGTTTGGGTTATATCGCGTAAATATAAATGTGTCGTTCACCCCCTCTATTTAAGACCAAGATAGGAGGATTTCATAATCAACGATTTTTGGGTTTAGATCGCGTTTATTTATAAATGTGTCGTAACCCTCCACCACCCGACACGGCCAATCAGTAAAAAATGTGTCACGTTGACAAAGACAAATAGTTCACTGCTTTAGCCCACCGGTGTGTTGAAGCAACAACATTCACAATTTGAGTACGACGTTTCGCTGGTAATTACAACCAGCATCATCGGGCAATTCGCCAGAATGGTGAGGCTCTCCTGTGTCTCCCGTTCTTATATAGAGCAGCAGCAGGATGACGTCATCATTAACTCATTAACTCATCAGGTGCAAAGATTCAAGGGGGGGAGTGATTGTAATTATATACTAGATTAGTAATCAGGCTATTGTTACGATGCGAGTTGTAGATTAGTAATCATTTGGAATGTGTTTTTATTGTGATTATGCTACATTAGTAATCAGTTAGTGGTTGTTTCCCTTATAAGTAATTGTAATGTATCTTATTTAATAATACGCTTCCAGGCCGCACTAAGCCTGTAGCTGTCTGAGCGATTGAAGTTATTTCTGTTTCTCTCAATTTCAATCGATTCTCTAATTAGTCTTTGCCAGTAGTAACTAGTTTTACACAACACTTCCACGTTGTCAAAATCAATTGAGTGTCCCTGTTGGCATGCATGTTCTGCTACTGCCGACAGTTGTGTTTGTGATAGTTTAATATTTCTCTGGTGTTCTTTTAGTCTTACACTAACGTTACGCCCTGTCTGTCCAATATAGCATCTGCCACATACACAATTAATCCGATATACACCTTCTGTTGATAATTTAGGTAATTCGTCTTTAGTGCATGTTACTAGTTGTTGAATTTTGTGTACTGTACCAAATCTTACTGTAATGTTTTGCTTTTGCAAAACACGGGCTAATTTATCAGTTACTCCTGAGATAAATGGTATTTTTATTGTTTTAATAATCTGATCGCTTTCAGCAGTGTTGCTTTGCGATCGTGATTTGGCTTTTAGTGCTCTGTTAATTTGAGCATTATTGTAGCCATTCTGTCTTAGTGCTTCTTTAACATGTTTAATCTCTCTCACTAGACTTTCACCATCTGACACTGTTTTAGCCCGATGTATGAGCGTCTTGATAAGAGAGGATTTCTGAGCTGGGTGATGATGCGAATCTGCATTCAGATAGGCATCAGTGTGCGTTGGCTTTCTGTAAACGCTGTGTGTTATTTTACCGTTTGGGCCATGCCCAAGTAAAATATCCAGGAACGGGAGTGTGTTATTCACCTCCATTTCCATGGTGAACTGAATGGCCGGGTTTTGTGCATTGAGATGATTTAGAAAATCGTTAAGTGTATCTTTACCATGTGGCCAGACAACCAAAGTGTCATCCACATATCTAAACCAAAAGGATGGTTTTAATGTGCTCGAGGCAAGTGCTCTGGTTTCAAAGTTTTCCATGTACAAATTTGCTATAGCAGGAGATAAGGAGAGCCCATTGCTGCTCCCTCCCTTTGTTTAAAGAATTCGCCTCTCCATAAGAAGTAAGTGTTATTTAAACAATGGTCTGCGAGTTTCGGAATATCTTTTGGTAAACCTGTATTCTTTACCAGTGTATCAAGTAATTTAAGCGACTCGCTCACTGGAACCTTAGTGAATAGCGAAATCACATCAAAACTCACCAAAATATCATTAGGGTTAAGTTTAATATCTTTGATCATATTCACAAGATGTTCTGAATTTCTTATGAATGATGATGTCCTACCGATGTAAGGCTGAATTTGTTTAGTTACATATTTTGCTAATTTATAGGTGGCAGAGCCAATTGTACTGACTATAGGTCGTAAAGGGATGCCGACTTTATGGATCTTTGGAAGCCCATACAGTCTAGGTGGTTTTGAAGCCCTTGGCTTCATTAGGAATTGCTCATTTTTTGGGATTAATGAATTTGCAATGATTGCAGTAGTCTTACGTTCCAAAGTATTAGTTGGATCTCGTTTAATTTTAATGTAGGTACTCTCCTCTAATAAATCTTTAATTTTATTATCATAATCGGCTCGTGACATCACTACTGTAGTGCGGCCCTTGTCAGCTGCTAGGATTTGAATATCTTTGTTTAGACGAAGCTCTCTTAAGGCTTTTGCCTCGTTCGAGCTAATATTTACTTTAGGTACTTTACTATTCTCAATAATTTTGGCAACCTCGTGTCTAGTCATCTCTGCCTCATTATGTGGAAGGAGTCTTACTGCTGATTCTACCTCAGCAATTATCTCATCCACTGGAATTGTGCGTGGGGTAACGGCAAAGTTAAGGCCTTTAGAAAGGACAGAAATCATGTCAGTGGTTAAATCAGTGTTAGTCAAGTTCATTACGGTTTTGTTTTCAAATTGTTCGTTTTTAATAGGGATTTGTTTATTGTAAAGTCTAGAAAATTTGTTAATTTGGTTAGCATTTGTTAGATTAAACACATTATCAGCCGATTGTTGTGTTATAGTATCGATTATATTCCAATCATGCATGGACACACTATTGCTTATATTTAAATGTAAATGCTTTAGCGATTCAGAAATGTTGGATAATTCACTCCTGTTGTGTTGTATTCTCTCTATTAATAATAATTCGCTAGCTTTGTGTAGTATTTTGTTAGCCTTAGAAGACTTTATGTGATGTGTTATTTTAACTGCGTTTGGTATTACCTTCGAATCTCTGCACCTTTTGAGGAACGCCAATGAAGATATCAATTTCATCCGCTTAATGCGGAGCTTCTCCAATTTTCTGGTTTTAAGAAAAGTATCCTCCCCATAGAGGTTAGTCAGTTTAACACGTAGGCTTTCGCGACCAATGTTATTCATAATCAACGATTTTTGGGTTTAGATCGCGTTTATTTATAAATGTGTCGTAACCCTCCACCACCCGACACGGCCAATCAGTAAAAAATGTGTCACGTTGACAAAGACAAATAGTTCACTGCTTTAGCCCACCGGTGTGTTGAAGCAACAACATTCACAATTTGAGTACGACGTTTCGCTGGTAATTACAACCAGCATCATCGGGCAATTCGCCAGAATGGTGAGGCTCTCCTGTGTCTCCCGTTCTTATATAGAGCAGCAGCAGGATGACGTCATCATTAACTCATTAACTCATCAGGTGCAAAGATTCAAGGGGGGGAGTGATTGTAATTATATACTAGATTAGTAATCAGGCTATTGTTACGATGCGAGTTGTAGATTAGTAATCATTTGGAATGTGTTTTTATTGTGATTATGCTACATTAGTAATCAGTTAGTGGTTGTTTCCCTTATAAGTAATTGTAATGTATCTTATTTAATAATACGCTTCCAGGCCGCACTAAGCCTGTAGCTGTCTGAGCGATTGAAGTTATTTCTGTTTCTCTCAATTTCAATCGATTCTCTAATTAGTCTTTGCCAGTAGTAACTAGTTTTACACAACACTTCCACGTTGTCAAAATCAATTGAGTGTCCCTGTTGGCATGCATGTTCTGCTACTGCCGACAGTTGTGTTTGTGATAGTTTAATATTTCTCTGGTGTTCTTTTAGTCTTACACTAACGTTACGCCCTGTCTGTCCAATATAGCATCTGCCACATACACAATTAATCCGATATACACCTTCTGTTGATAATTTAGGTAATTCGTCTTTAGTGCATGTTACTAGTTGTTGAATTTTGTGTACTGTACCAAATCTTACTGTAATGTTTTGCTTTTGCAAAACACGGGCTAATTTATCAGTTACTCCTGAGATAAATGGTATTTTTATTGTTTTAATAATCTGATCGCTTTCAGCAGTGTTGCTTTGCGATCGTGATTTGGCTTTTAGTGCTCTGTTAATTTGAGCATTATTGTAGCCATTCTGTCTTAGTGCTTCTTTAACATGTTTAATCTCTCTCACTAGACTTTCACCATCTGACACTGTTTTAGCCCGATGTATGAGCGTCTTGATAAGAGAGGATTTCTGAGCTGGGTGATGATGCGAATCTGCATTCAGATAGGCATCAGTGTGCGTTGGCTTTCTGTAAACGCTGTGTGTTATTTTACCGTTTGGGCCATGCCCAAGTAAAATATCCAGGAACGGGAGTGTGTTATTCACCTCCATTTCCATGGTGAACTGAATGGCCGGGTTTTGTGCATTGAGATGATTTAGAAAATCGTTAAGTGTATCTTTACCATGTGGCCAGACAACCAAAGTGTCATCCACATATCTAAACCAAAAGGATGGTTTTAATGTGCTCGAGGCAAGTGCTCTGGTTTCAAAGTTTTCCATGTACAAATTTGCTATAGCAGGAGATAAAGGA